AAGTGGTGGTAGTGACAAAGAAGTCAAGTTTTGGGATTTTGAACTTATAACAGATAGTGAATATTCTGAAGTTAAGTATGTAAAGTTTTTATGATTGCCTCTTTGATTTTGCTGATGCATTTATTTTTATTTATCATTTACTTTATTCCTAATGTAGGAAAAGATTGTCTCTTAATCTGAGAAGGACTTTAAAAATGCCAGACGAAATTTTATGTATTCGATACAGGTATGTCATCTGCAGCTATTATAGTTGTTGTATTTATGCTAGTAAAAGGCCTATTTATGGCATATATAAAAATAAGTATATACACAGATTGTCCCAATTATCCGAGTTAATGCAGATCTTGACTAACTCGATTAACGCAAATCTATAAATGAAATAAATAATCAAGTTTAGCTATATTTTAAATATTATGCATATACTCCAGATCCAATTCATATCATTATTACAAAATTCCTACTTAAAAATGTCCTTAATTGATATGTGTTTTATGTTACTTATGTGTTTTTCTGGCTGCAAAGTTTTGCCATTTTCTTTGGGCTGACAGGATGGCTGGTATCGCTTCTTGTTGTTCTATATATTCAGTAGCACTTTCAATTGCTTTTAATCTATTCTTATCGAAGATTTGCATGTGTCTATTTTCATTTGCACTATCTTCCACATCATCACTAGATTATTTTCTTATTTCTCGATGGTAATGATTGCTTCATATGTTATCTCTTGTTGTTTACCTTGTCAGAATTACCTTCTTCATTGATTGGCTCTGATATTGGTAATTTCTGATAAAGTCCACAAGCCCATTCCTTTTTTCATTAGACACTCCCTGTTATTCTATATTCTGTACATCGATAATTTTTCTCTGCAACTTTATTATGCTGTTTAAATTTGCATCATCCCATGCCTCTATCCTGTAGTAGACAACATCCTTTAAATTGAAATAATTATGTGTCTTGGAAACTTTTAAGTGTCAATATTTTAAAGTTCAGTCTTGTTTCTTTGTAAAAAGCTTCATTTTCAGATCTTTTTCACCCCATCGTAATCGGCTAATAATTTTTTATCCATATCTGTTCTGTATTATTTAGTGACCAAATTTTTGCCTGTTTTTCCACTGAGCCGTGATGGCTCTGGGGGTAGAGCGTTCGCCTTCCTATGAGGGGAACTGTGTTTTGAATCCCAGCTACGGCTGGTTGATACGAATTTGGCTTGCACCGGCCACAGTGCTGACTTAAAATATCCTCGGTGGTTGACGGATCATGGGTTAGAATCCCTTTGCGGTCGGGCTAACCGTGGGAGGTTCTCGTGGTTTTCCTCTGCATGTAATGCTAATGCGGTTTAGTCCTATCAAAAAGTCCTCCACAAACGCAAATTTCTCCCAATACCAGGATCCAGGAGTTCCTTTGTTTTCTGGATTAGGTTCAAAATTACAAGGCTATAGAGTTGAACATTAGTAATCGTAAACCCAAAAAATTGGGTCGACTGTTCAACGCTGGTTGTAATTATAATTACTATATCAGTGGTATATTCTCCAGAATAGAACATTTTGTAAAATCTATTCCAAGATCAGAATTTTTTCAGTAGTTTTAAAAAGGAAAAAAGTAAATCTAAAAATAAATAAATTGCACCTAGGGTTCTTAAACATTTGAAACTAGGAAACCATCTCTGAAACATTGTGCGTTTTCTTTTTACTCTATGAAGCACAGCAAATGATATTAAAAAATAATTTTTACTTTTATTCAAGTTACAAGAAATTTTGAGACATTACGTGTTCACCTATTCTTTTAGAAATCATGTCTTACAAGTACTATTAGATATTTAATCTTATCTCTTAAATTATCTGATTTCTTCTAAAGTTGGCTGTTATTGATGTCTACTTACATGTGTGTGTGTATATGTATACATATATACAGGGTATCCGCACACCTGGAATTTTTTTAATGGAATTTACCCCCTCCCCCAATTTCATGATGTTCCGCATATCTGAATTTGTAACAAAATCCCCACTCACAGTCATATTTAATTAAACTGTATCGTGAAAAATTATGGTGTTCTTTCAAAAAATGAATTTCTAGAATGAATCATTTGTAGAGCGAATTATCTTTTAAACTTCTGCAGGGCTCCCAAATGGTCCGTTTTTCCCGCTAAAGTCCGTTTTAGTCCGCTTTTTAACGAT